AGTCTATTCTCTAAAACATGCGACCGAATTGGAAAAAGACTAGAAAGATACCACCGAATTGAAGAAATTTTAAGAGTAAGTCTAATTATGTTAGCACCAATTCCCAAAGGTGAACTAAATGGTATCTTAAAAGCTATTACCATCGGACTTTGCACTGCCACGATCACACGCCATAGGGACAATAACCCACTGACAAGAGACCATGTTGCTGAAATAAAGCTAAAATTATTCCATTTATGTGTAGGATGCAAAAAAAACACATTAATAATTAGAGCTGTGCCAACTATCGGCCACGGAGTCAGTTGACTTTCTTTCGAAGGTACCAATGCAAAACCTTCAAATGAGCCAACGCGACTATCACACATTGTAGCAAGTCAATGAGTTAGATTATTTTTATTATTATTGATTTTTGGGAGATTGTTAAAGAGAAAATTGACGAATTTATTGGGTGAATCCTAATTCTAGAATAGGTACAGTTTTTCTATGTTTTTTCGGAGGCAAATCCGGATAGTGTCACGCAAGACACCTTAAGCTTCCAAATATAGTTGTTTTGATAATAAAATTATTGAATTACTCGATACTTATAGAAAAACAACAAGGTTTAAGTCTCCATTTTACTGCACTCGTGCGTCACCTATGCAGGCGAATTTTGAGTGGAATTGTACTGTAATAATAATATTTTTTTAAATAAAATCGATTAGTAATTTGATCTAAACCATCGATTTTCAATGCGAACCAAGCTTGATAGTTGTTACACAATTATATCACATGAGTATAACAATGAATGCGCAGTGTCAACATAAATTCCTGGAAATTTTTTTCTTATACTGTATAAGAAAAAATTTTTTTTATTAACACTATATGAACAAACAATGATTAATTGTTTCCATAATGCTCGATTGAGATGTGTCTATTGAAAGTATTATTTTTTTTTCATTATTCAACGTTTATCTTTTTTCTATCCTATTATTAATTAGGTTCAATTCAGGTGAGGTTGAAAGCTAGTGTTGGGGGGTAATAACG